TCTTAAAGTTGCAAATTTTCCACCAAACATAGTGGGCTTAAAACATGATTTGCTACTCAACAAAGTCGGCATAGAACTCACATTCATTGAATCTTTCCAATTCAAATAACAAGCCTTCATCCACAGTCATTCATCCAGTTTAGCATTTAAGCACATAGCCTCATGGCAAGCATGCTAGACAAGGCAACATTCACATTCATGCAAGTATGCTAAAGTATAAAAACTCACCTAGTACTCCAAGCTAGGAAAACAAAGTTAGAAAAATATGCATGATTCCTAATTATACAAGATGTCTAATGAAACACATACAATATACAATTATTAATAGGCTCGGCTACTATTATGGCATATGAATCTACTTAAATAATACGCGATTAAACGTATATTCAAATAAGATATTGAAATGACAATGTAGTTTGAATGATGTGCCGAGCCTCGGTGCATGCAATGAGTAAATGGATGCAAGCATGCGATATGCTGATTGAAATATGTCCCTAATCTAACCATCAAAAGTGATTAAATAAAAGGGAGAAAGACGTGGGATTGGAAAACATACACACACGCACGCATACTTATTACAACATTATGCCCTTGCGACGGAGGGTCCGAATAAATAAGCTAACCAACTAGCTATGCTAATTAAGCTAACTAATTATTACAAATCAAATGGATGACTAGTTAAGCTAGTTACCAATTATTAAAACACTTAGCAAACTAATTAATTAATTTACAACACAAACGTACACGAACTAAGCAATTAAGACATTAAACTATGCTGCCATTGCTCCGCCTCGGGAAGTGGAAAATGCACATGCTCGGTTCTCACTCGGGAAGACCACCATTTTGATCTCGAAAGCCTTTGTTTGCAAGGTTGAACATTTCCAGAACCTTTCTACTTCACCTTACTCAAATCATGTTGAGGTTTACATCAGCGGCTTGCCAGCCATGGATGGCATCTGCCGGCCATTTGCTGGCCAAAAAGGTGTATTGCCGGCCAGAAATGATGCACTGCTAGCCACTAGGGGTGCATTACCGGCCACTGATGCATTGGATCACCATGCTGCAACAAAGCACAAACAGAGCAAATAGGGGGTTTTTCCAAGGGTTTGTTTGTACTGTATCCCTCTTTATCATCTCAAAATCTTGAAGGAGCGACACATTTCATCACTTTTGAGTATGAAATGCCCCATTTTCCTTGTGTTCAAACAAATGTCTGGTTTGAACACATGCGATGCTACACAAAGAATGCTTATCTTGCCTATTTTTATTTGCCAACTTTGTTTACACATTTTAATTACCAAGTCATTCCCTAATCACGTAGCCCATTAGTGAGTGTCCTCTAAATGCAATGAAAGCTCAAACCAAAGGTTGTCTTAGGCATGAAAGAGACCTCATGCTGTTGGTAATGAACCCCAAAAAGGATTAAACCATTAAGCACAAACATCTCAATTTCATGCTTTAAACAAGCAAATGGTTTAAACCACTTTCAAAACAAAAATAAAACCAAGAAAGGGGGAAGGTTGCAGATATGATTAGGTGCTGAAAATGAGTACTAAAAGCACTAAAACATGCAATCAACTCAAACCAATGATAGTTAAAGCCTTAAAACACTAAGCTAGTGGAGAAATTGACACTAGAGCCATGCCATGCAAGGCTCAAATGAGACAAATAACCAAAAATAGAGGCAAAATAGCCTTAAATATAGTCTAAAACACGGTGGAGTTAAGCCACAAAAAGCTAAAACAATAAGTTAATACATGAAGTTAACTAGCCATGCACACAAGACACAAAGAGGGGAGGCTAACCCCTTCAATTTTGGACTTCAAATGAGTTTTTTACCACTGAAAAACCTCCAAAATTCAGTGGTTAAAAGGCCCAAAAAATTGGTTTGAAAGTGATGAACAAAGGCACAAAAACCTTTACAAGCAAAGAAGCAAGAAGAGTGAGCTACCCTTTCACCAAAAATGGCCTCAAACCAACACTTTTAAGTCATCAAAATAGAGCTTTTACAGTTCAAAACCAGCCTCAAAACAGTTGAAAGAAGATAAAAAAACAAGTATTAAAAGCAAGCTAACAAGACAAGTATTCTATCTCTTGAAGCAAAGAAAACTTTTAGGCACAAGTTCAAGCTAAAACTACCTTCAAGAACTCCAAGAAGGCCCTAAGTGACCTCAGCTCAAAGGTGAGAGGATTTGGTTTAGGAGATGTAGGCTAAAGTGTATAGAAATTAAGCAAACACACACAAATTTGCAAGAGAGAAAATTTTTATGTCTCAAATTTTTCTGAGCCCCACAAATGGGAGAGAGGGGTCCTATATATAGAAAACACAAAATTTCCTCACAAACATCTAGCCATACATGTGTTGGAAGATGCATGAATCTGTGCAAACAACTGGCACAAAATATCACAAAATATCTGCAGGAAACATTGGTAGCCGGCCAGCCCTCAGTGATGGCCGACAAGGCTTCATTAATGGCCGACAGGGCACATCAATGGCTGGCAAAGGAGAAGTGGTGCTGGAAGCCTCCAAGGATGGCCAGCAGGCCATCTGAAACTTCATGCTGAAAAGACGTAGGAATGTTTCAAAGATGAGGGAAAATGGATTAGGGTTTGAAATGCTCAAAACTGTGGCATTCCGCTGATGACTTCTAGCACTGGGTGAGTAATCAAACTCGTCAACGGATGTACATTGTGTATGCTAGTTGCATGTTTGCATATCATCCCTCGCATGCTGGCATGATTAGGTTGCATTGCGTTTAGGGTTGCATGCTAGTCGTATTGTGTATGCCATGTATATTGCATTGTCTTTGGAATAGGGTTTAGTCTAAACACAGGAAACGAGGGATGTTTCGTACTCCAAGTGAGGAAACGTGTCTCGATTCTCGGTCGCCGACACTCCGGATTACCCATGATGGAGTTTAGGCCTTGTTGTGTGCATTCATTTTACATCGAGTTGTGCAATCTGACTCCTCGGCCATCATGCATCGAGATGCGTGATTGGTGGCATGAGGATCGAGGACTACACTCCCTGGAGCTTGTGCAATGATGGGGAGAGTGGTCATGCACACATATGTTGAAAATACTTTGCCATGCCCCTTTCTCGCTCTCTGTTGCAGCAAACCAAAAACCAGCAGCAAAAACTAGTCAGCAGCCTTCTGGAGCTTTGTACAGTGTTCTGGGACCAGTTGCAAATAGAGGCAAATCAGGGCATCGCGATGGATTTCCCGACAAGGCGACTTGAGCATGCATGCATCCCTATCATTCGGAACAGAGCTGAGGCAGTCCATTTTGTTCAATTTGCATGCTAGTTTCCTTACTTAGTTAATTTGTTAATTAATTAATATTGTGTAATAATTAGTTTAATTAGTATAGATTAGCTAGTTTATTCTGTACTATTCATGCGGACTCTCCGAGGAGGGCAATGTTCTAATAAGTGTGCGTGTGCATGTGATGCATGCCTTCCAACCCCACGTCTTTCTCCCTTTTATTTACCAGCTTATGATGGTTAGTTTAAGGCATGTTTCAATTAGCATACTTATGCTCGCATGTTTGCATCCATTTATCTGTCTTGCATGCACTGGGCTCGGCGCATCATATTAACTGCATTGTATTTCAATTCCGAGTTGAATACGTGTATCAGTTGTTGCATTTCATATGCGATTTTAGAATAGCCAAGCCAATCTTAGTTGTATTTTTGCATGTGTTGCATTAGGCATTTCAACATAGTTAGGATTCATGCATGATTTCTAATTAGCTTCTTTCTTTGGCTTGGAGTACTCGGTAAGTATTTATGCTTTAGCATCCTTGCATGCGTGTGAGTGACTGCCATGATAGCATGCTTACCATGAGGCTATTTGCTTATGTGATATAACTGCCTGAATGCCTGTGGGTGAAGGTTGGGTTATTTCAATTGGAACAATTCACCAATTGAGAGTTTTAAGCCCACTTGAGAGTGGCAAAATCATGTTTTTTTAAGCCCACTTGACGGTGGCAAATCCACGTCTTAGCCTACTTGCGAGTAGCACCATCAAACCATCTTTCAAATAAACAAACATAAAATGTTTTGTTCCAACTCAAACGGTCCAATACTTATATGTTGTGTGCATCACATAGTAATTCTAGGCTAATAACCGGAATAAGAGCACATAATGTTTTCAAAACTCGATATCATGGTTAGTAGAGGCCGATCTTTGATCGGGCGACCGGGGGTGCTCACGAAGTGACCTTCCCCAATCGTACCCAAGTTCTCGAGCCGAGGCAACTTTGGTGATGACGGACACGTGGCCTTAGGCACGAGTCAGCGTTTCCTAAATTTCCCCAAAATAAAATATTTAGGTGGCGACTCTGTATCTGGCAAAGCAGTCCATGTTTGGCATTTCTTTTTAAAAATCAGTTTTTCAAAATGATTTGCCAGTTTTTCAAAATCATCGGTGTTGCATTGCACTCCGCGAGATTAGATACAGGACCGTAACATTGAGTCCAAACTGTAGTAAGCCCCAATGAACAAAACGGGATTCCCTCACGGGACGTTCTGGGACGTCTACACCTACCACTCTTAAACCAATGATGAGTCCGAATGCACTATCCAAATCTTAGAAGATATGTTGAGAACTTGTGTACTTGATTTTAAAGGTTCTTGGGAGAGACACTTGCCATTAGCATAATTTGCCTACAATAATAGTTTCCTGGCCAGCATTAGGATGGTACCTTTTGAAGCCTTGTATGGGCAGCCGTGTAGAACACTGGTGTGTTGGACCAAGGTGGGGGCATTCACCTATGCTCGGACCGGAATTGGTTCGTGAGACCATTGAAAAAATAGCTCTCATTTGGAAACGGTTAGTTATAGCTCAGAGCCAACAAAAGAGTTATGCAGACCAGAGGAGAAGACCCCTATCTTTTGATGTGGGTTTAAAATATCACCTAGGAAAGGTTTAATGAGATTTGGTCGAGGTCGGAAATTGTCACCGAGGTTCATTGGCCCTTTTGATATTATAGAACGGATGAGAGAAATAGCCTATTGCCTCGCCTTACCACCGCAATTATCTAGATTGCATGATGTGTTTCATGTCTCTATGCTTTGCAAGTATGAGCTGGATCCTGCCCATGTCTTGGATTGGACAAATTTAGAGGTGGATGAGAATGCTTCCTATGAAGAAAGACCAATGAAAATCCTGGACACCCTAGAACAAGTTTTTAGAGGCAAAGTTATTCCCCTAGTCAAAGTGTTTTGGCACTACCACGGGGTGGAGGATGCTACTTGGGAACGAGAAATGAAAGTTCGTGAGAAATACTCAAATTTATTCAATGATATGTAACTTGTTTGTTTGTTATTCTTGCATTATGGTATGGAAGATTGTAAAAGGAAGTAAATGAAAGAAATCTAATTTCTCATTCTATTGTTTGAATTTAGCTTTGATTACTTTTTGATTTGTGAAGTTGGGATGAAAGAGATTATTGTTACTGTGGTATGCATCTTTCCTAGGAATTGTTGGAGTTGTTTTGGTAGGAAACACAAAATTTCAGGGACGAAATTCTTTAAGGCGGGTAGGTTGTAATAATCTATTTTGGATGACCGCTTGAGCGGTCATTTGGTTGCTCGAGTAGAGATTCGCAACTTCCAGTATATCTCAAGTTTGCAGGCGAGACCGCTCGAGCGAAGGAAAGATTGCTTGAGTGTAAAATTCGAGCTCCCAATATTTTCACTGTAGCTCTGCAAAACTTCTAAGACCTCACATTTACCACTCGAGAGGTCTGGTCGGGACAGTTCACTTAATATCGATCAAACATTTCTTTTCTCACTTTTTCTAACTCTTTCCTCTCTCTAGTACCCTTATTCCGAAACCCTAGTCCCAAACACTTGATTTCCCTTGATTTCTACCAAGATCTACCTTATATCCTCGAAGAGGGTTGAAGATCAAGCCAAGATCAAAAGCATTACCGATTGTTTCTCTCATTTCCTGGAGATTGAAGTTGGGTTTTCATCATTCACCTTCAATCTTGAGGTAGGGGTACTTTTAACTTTACATACTTATGATTTGACATATATATATATATATGTGATATTCTCTTAGTTTTTTTTGGGTGAATAATATTCTCTTAGTTATAGTCATGTATGAGATGAGTTTGTGATAGAAAGTGGGTTTGTTGGGAAAAAAAAGGGTCTTCCCCATGTTTTGGAGAAATTTATGCTTGTCCTTCTTGATTATTGTTAGGAATGGTGAATATTGACTCTTTATATGTAAAGGAGGGGAAATGCCCTAATTTCTTTCAAAAACCCTAGTTTTCAAATTTGATTTAATAATGGGTTTGACCAAATTGACTCTTAAATCTTGAAATTAGGTGAAGGATTATGAAAATGGTGTTGAGATATGAGATTGTTGAAGCTCTTTGGGTATATGTATTGAGATTGATAAAGGTTGAGATTGAGGAAATTGTGAGATTGGAGAAATCTCTTGGTTGTTGATATTATTAATGTTGAAGTGGATTGAACAAACCGTAGGGAAAATTTATTTGAAAATTCATGCATCATGTGCATCATAAATTCTCTTGTGATATTACAATTTTACAGATGTTTGGAAAGTTTTGGAAGGCGGAGTAAGTAGAATAAGAGTCTGGGTAGTTGAGTTGGGTTTTCGTAATGGGTTGTGTGTTGTATTTGGTACCTGCGCGGGGAGTTAACGTGCCCAATTGCCCTGTCTACGCATATCGCCAAACAAATGTGGGAAAAGTTTTTGGGTGTCCATGAGCCTGTCGTTTATAGAGTCGGCGAATGTAGAAAAACTTGATTTTGTATGTCCACAAGTCTACCGTTTTTAGAGTCGGCAAAAGTGGAAAGGGAAAGGTTTTGGGTGCCCATCTCCTCGCGTTGCTAGAGTCGATAAATGTGGGAATATTTTTTAGTGTATAAAACTATATATATGTATGACTTTGCGACTCTTACTTGGGACTTCATAGCATATTTAATACATGGTTGCGGATGAGACTTTGAATGGAAATCATACATTGAACATTTTTGGTTTCGAAAGAGAAAATATGAATGTTAATCTAACATGTGCATGCAATGATAATATGCATCTAAATTATTTATATAACTTGCTAAATGTATTTCCTACTGAGCATTAGCTCACCCCAAACTAACCATCTTTCAGGAAACGATGTGGATGCGTCACCTAAGTGATTGGATTGAAGAACGATTTTGGATGGGGGCACAGAAGCTCTCTTTTGTTGTTTGATGTTAAGCCTCAGGCTATTTTTGTTTGGGAACTTAGATTCTATTTTTGTGTATTTGAGGACACTTCTTGAAAGGATGTTTATCTTTTGGGCTTTTTTCTTAGATTATCTCTTGCCTTTTGAACTATTATTTTATTGATAGATGTAATCAATCACATAATGTAATGATCGGAATAGTTCAATGGGGAAGAGATAGTTACAGAATTTTATCAATATTATTATGGACTAATTCTCTCTCTTTTACATTGGTTATCCCCATGTGAGCATATTTTATAGGAGCCCTAAATTTTTGGGGTGCTACATTGTTTCCTCTGGAGAAGGCCTTCCCACACAAAGGGCCATGATATTACTACCCCTAGGTGAGGGCTTGACTAAAGGGTGACACAATTACTTTCGAAAGAGACAATCATTCATTCCTATCAAAATAACATTCTTGCAGTTAATCAAAATACATTTTAACAACATATCTTTACAAAGATACTATTCACAGTGGGCATGACTCGAATGTAACTCATCGGGTGTCCAACCTACACAAAGCACATAAACAAAGACATTGAAACACAATATCACACTCTTTATCCAATTCTACTTCTCTTATCTTTCTTCCTAAATAAACCGAATCCTTACTTTACTTCCTCTTTCTTAATCAATTACTTAATCAATGACTTATTGTTTAACCAATTAATTTATGTTGGTTCCTAACTTATTAGTCCTTAATGACATAATTCATGCCTAGGAATGTTTAGGAAGAGATGAGGATGAAAATATGATCAAGATGTAATTTTCTAAAACCATGTTGAAATGGTCTAACCGCTCGACGTGCTGAAGAGGCCTGACCGCTCGAGCCACCACTTGGTCGCTCAAGCAGACTACACAATCTGGAAAAATACGAGGAGTGTGAAGCCCCTGAAAAATGTATTTTCTTTAAAAACCCTTATGTTTGAATTATTTCCTTAAAGCCCCTCAGTTTCTTAAATTATTTCGAATCTTGGCGGTTAGCATTTTTTTTTAATTTTTATCGAAACAGGAATGTCCTAGCCGAATTAGGTTCCTTAGTCTAATTTAATTTAATTCTACATAAATAAGGTCCAATACATGAGTTTAATTCTAAGCCCTCATTTCTTTTATTAATTTCAATAATTGCCCCAAAACTAGTACATGTATTTTTTATACTATAGGTACCATCAAATCAATTTGAGATCTATATATATACATTGGGAAATGTGTCCATAGTACTCATATAATGAATAAAATATTCCCCATTTCCCTTCCCCATGGCCGGCCAACCTTTGAGAATGTGAGGGACCAATTTTCAAGATTTGTAATTATGACATTCTAGAAGCTCAAGTACCAAGTACAAGGGTTGTGTTTTCAACCTAGTTCCATCCCAACTAGAGGCTAACTAAATCTTGTCTAATCACATAATTAAGCCCCCTAATCACTCCCTATTCCATTTGACTCCAAGTAAATCCAAACTTCTCAATCCAATTCCAACTAGGGGGCCTTTATGCTTTTTCACACCAAAATTGCCTATAAGTATAACCACCCTCTTAGCAAAGCATACACAAACAACACATACACATACCTACATTCGGCATAAAGGGGAGAAAGGAGAGCAAGAAAAAAGTCTAGAGAGAAAGAGGAAGGAAGAGGGTAGCAATCTTGTTCAACTTGGCCTAGCCTAGCAAGTAAGTCACAACACAACTCTCTCTTTTGTTTTCCTTTTTCAAATACACGTTCTTAAGGGCTCTACCCATTGTTTTCAGATGTATTATTAATGATTTCCTTGTGCTAAAAATGATAAGAGTTGAGCCATGATTCTACCCCTCTTGTAGTTCCCCTCATTTCGGTACAAAACTATCTTTTCCATACCAATCTCTCAAACTTTCCAAAGGCACGCCTTCAAGATAATTTTCTGATTTTAATACATATTATTTAGCATGTTTTCATCATGAAAGAAATGAAAAATTTCCCTTAGTGGATCCCTTTCTCAAAAATCTTCTTGTTTTGGGCATTGTGCCTTAAAAATCTTTTTTCACAGCCAACTTTCAAAATTTCTAGAAAAATGTAGAAAATTATTCTGGACTCCATTGTATGTCAAAATCTTCGCTAAGGAATTAGCTTTCAACTAAAATTAGTTTCATTGAAAAATAGTAAGCGGTTTGTAAGAAAATCAAATGTTCGTAACGGTCGACGAATCTGGACAGCGCTGGAGTGTTCCTCAAATAACTAAAAATCTAGAAAAGCTATCCCATTTCCGAAATATGTTCTGGAACTAGATTAAATTCTCTACGAACCATAAGATGGCCGAGTCCGGTAAAAATCTAAAATAACCATTTTTATTTTAATCTTTAAAGGGTATTGAATCTGGAAAGTTTGTTGTGCATGGGTGTTTTATGCTCTTGTGTTCATGAATATGATTATTAGCTTGTGATCATGTCTTGGCATGATATTGCATGTGTTATGGTTATGTTCCTTATCTTCTTCATTCTAATGATGCATGCTTATGTGGATATTATAATCGTGTTAAGTTGGTCTAACCTTGGTTTAAAACATGTAACTCAACGGAAAACTTAATTGGGATGGTATTGGGTTTTCGATCACTTGAGTAATGAAAAGATGATAGTATGTGATGTATGGATTGTTGGGATGCGTTCCCTATTTAGAAGTTAAAGTCTTGCGCAAGTGGTTTTCGGAACCCTTGAACGGAGCGATTGTATTCGGACCCTAGGTATTTGGTGTGAGGAGGGATTCGGGCAAGGCCCATTATTACCGTCTCTTTTGAGGCCCTGCGGTTGGCACTACGCGATATATAACCATTGGTAGGCCTCCGAGGTTAGTTCTGTAGCAAAGCAGCAAAAAATGGGGCATACCGAATAATATGCGTCCGATTCTTGTGGTTGGGAAGACAAAGTCTCTTTGGGGGATTTCTAGTTTACTAACATCTAACCTTGTAACCCTTTATTTATTTAGTTGAGTATCATGCTTTATTACTTGCTGTCTTATTTATGATTGTGTATTGGACTGGGAAAAAGGGACGGGGTGTGTGTGTGTTTACTGGGCATTCAAAGCACACAGCGTATCATGCCAGGTGCTGAAGAGGAGCTTATAGCTAGAGACAACGAGTCTGAAACCTTCAAAGACTTTTGGCTATCTTAGAAAAGTTAGAATTTCCCTTTTGATATTTTGTAAGGCTCATATGAAGATTTAAATTTTCTTTTGGGATGTAATGTAATGGCACAAGCTTTTGAAATTAAGGATATTCGTGGTTATTATGTACTCATATTCTAATATATACATATATATAAACCCTATCGTTGCTTATGAGACCTTGTGTCAATACCTTTTAAGATCTGTCAAAAGGGTAGTGCGCTGCCTAAGTTCATATCATTCATAACATTAATAGATTATTTCCCCAATTTTCCCTTCATATGATAGCATGAATTCCAATACTCATAACAAAGTTCATTCGCAAATTTTAAACATACTTTTCAAACATTTCCAAATTCTAATTAAACTTGAAGACATATAATTTAATACCTCAATTTCATTATTCTACTTTCAATTTGGGCCAAAACATTGGGTATCATCATCAATCAACCTAGGGTTTCAAGAAAAATGAGGATTTTTAACAAAAATTCACACTTCTTAAATCACCACTTTTAATTCCAATTTTCCCAGTGATTCTACTTCTAGGATTCACAATTCATCATTTTAACCCACCAATTTAACTTCCAACATCTCAAACTCTAAATCCCCAAATCTCATAATATGCCCTGGATGATAAAAATGAAGATTTTTACATTAATATACTGAAGTCACCATAAATCTATCCCTAGATGTAAGTATTGAGGAGATCTAGAACCCCTACCTCGAAGAACAAACAAAGGAGCGAGCTTGGATGAGATTCCACCTCAATTTCGAAATTCAATCGGTTGGAAATGTTGACCCTTTCTTGTTCTCCATCCTTGATACAAGATCCATGGAGGATTTGTCGATAAAAGTGGAGGAAATCAAGGTTTTGGAAGCTAGGGTTTCAGACATGGAAGAGGGGAGAAGAAGAGAGGAAAAGAAATTGCAAGGAATGGTCCAAAAATGCCGTTTTTGAGCTGCTGTCCCGCACAGACCGTACGTGCGGGGCT